GAAATGTTCAGGGTTAAGGATATACTTGATTATAGTATGTCATTCTCGTTGTAAGACGATTGGGAGAGAGAGGGAGAGTTAATGAGGTAGATCATTCCTTGGTCAGGTCTGAATCGGATTGATCAGAGGAAATCGACAGAGTTAAAATGGGTCAGTCACATCATTTATTACACAATGTAACAAAATTGAGCTCATGATCTGGGGCGTGACAAACTCCAATTGAGGCGTAAATTCCTTTGGCTTGAATATTAAGAATTCAGAAGAGGAAAAATTCGCCATAGATCAGGTTTTCAAGTTATGGCGAGAGGTTTTTTTTTTTGGTTTTTTCGGTAGAGGAATATTTGTGTAGAAAATGCTCTACTACCAATTCGACTTGTTGCAGGCCTTCTAAACGCCGGCATCAAGAAGAAGCAAAGGTTGCAGGCAGCGTGCTCGCAAACAAATTCAAAATTCTTTACATTCACGGGGAAGTCTTAATGATTGGGAAAATCATTCAATCTACACGTTTATTATCCTTGCACCTGGGTTTTGCGCCATGGAGGCAAAACACTAAAATTAATTCGAAATGGATTTGATATTGCTTTGTAGGTAATCTGTTGCTAGGCTAATGTTTCTCGTTCTATTAGCGTGTTGATGAATAAGGAAATGGTTAAGTAGGGCTCATTAGACAAGAAAAAAGGCAAATCAGGGGTGATAAAAATGGTGTGGTAAATGGGGTCCAATATCAAAGAATAAAGGAGGACCAATTGGACCATGGTTGGGAGGGCCAGTGCGAGACCATACTCTGATGTGTACGTTTGTCCCCGGTGATGTCATTTTATAATAAAGTAATGTCCGTTAGTGAATCACTGATTTTCAAGGTTTGTGTGTTGGCTTGTTTTGGCCGGTTGAGTTCCCATAACCCGAAAGAGAGTCGAGAGCGATGTCGGTGGTCGAATCAAGCCCAGTATATATGCACACATAACAGACTCTAACAAACGATGTAATTTTTGACTTTCAAATATTCTCGTATGTGGAAGAACACTCAGAACTACCAGAATGTCGATCTGAAAACTACAATAAGGTGTCTCCTCACCCGAGGAATATCTTCATGAGGAAACGAAGATTATACCCGCCAATCGACAGAACCAAATGATGTCGATTATCTCCATCAACTAGGCAAGCCAAAAAAGATCTTCATGATCTAAAGCGATAAATTCAAACGTATTAAGGTTAACTTCTATATCAACAGGCAGACCTATTAGGCAGGTCTGAATCGCAATTGTAGAGATAAAGTTGCCCAGACAGTAGAACCATACAACCTTTTACAATTTAAACATATTTAGCATGCGGACTACCGATACGGCCCGTTGCACCTATTTAACTACCCAGCTAGCCTACCAATTGCAACGTTCCTGAATTTGAATACAAAAGGGAGCAGAAAAATGTCCGTACACGAAGATCCATCCCTTAAGTCAGCATAGAAGAATTTCTCCGAAAAACTCCCCGAAGGCCTGACAGAAAGGATTTGCATGGTCTAGGGAGAGAGTTGTCCAATATTATAAAAGGGAACCTCTACATTCAGTTGACGACGCTCTAAGTTACTCAGAGATCAACCTCCACCCATCGCAGCTGAAGAACGTCAGATGCCCAGACAAACCAGAGTGTATTTGACCCAATTACGTTCAGGACGATGCAGCCGTCCAAATTTGTATTTGTACAAAGCAACAACAATTAGGATGAAGTAATAGGTTAGATAATAGGTTACACTGGATGTATAACACCGTGTATAACACTGCAGACTCTGTGATGAGGAGGAGGATACGGAGATAATTGAACATCTCCTGTGTCGCTGTCCAGTTCTGGCCTACAGATGGCACAGATAAGTGGGTGTTCACTTTCCACCGTGTCTAAGCTTCTTTTCAACTAAGGAACCTGATTTAATCTAGAACATCATCAGCAACCTGAAGTGGTTGGGACAGTACAACCTGTGCCGAACATCACGAAATTTTACCAAGAGACCTGCCCAACGAATGAGTAGAACGGCCTTTACATTAGAAGCTTTTACCGGGTTAACCTACTTCATGAGAATAACCCACTTCGGACAAAAATACATATGCAAACTATATCGAAATCTGAACTGATTTTACCGAAACTTAACACTCATCATTCGAGACTCAATGCAGTACGCTATGCTAAATTTCGTGCAAATCGACAGATATACAGGGACTTTGGTGCACAATTTACATTAAATCTGAACCGATTTTCAGGAAACTTTACACACATAATCCTAGACTCAATTCAGCATGCTTTACAAAATTCCGTGCAAATCGAAGGATAAAAGGGACTTCGGTACATCATTTACTTTAAATCGGACGAAAATATATATGGGAGCTTTTAAGTGATTATTTATACTCTTTCGAGTCGAGCTTGATGATCTAAATTTTGCAATGAAAAGGAAAGCCAGGAGAAGAACCTACGTACCCACCATTATGCGACGCGTTTCGCCGTTGGTTAAGCGGCTCATCAGGCATATTGGGCTATGTGGCTTTACAAAGGTCGTACGTTGATAACTTGTATTTATTCCGCCCTGATGCGAAACTTGCATATGCGAATTAAATTCAAATTTGTCAAAGTTCGACATTTGTCTTCATTCTAGGAACAGTCCTTTTCAAAGCAGATTTTTGTTGTAGCGATGGATAATTAATCCACACACCTACAATTGCTTCCTGGTATACACATGTTTTTGCGCAACCGTTTTGGAAGTGTTGATGGCTCAGAACGTTAAGCGGTCTTGGCAACATCTGTGTTGCTCTGAGGACCTAGGAGCTATATTTAAATCTGAACCGATTTTCCCGAAATTTAACACTCATCATTCTAGACTCAATGCAGTACGCTATGCCAAATTTCGTGCAAATCGAAGGATATAAAGGGACTTTGGTGCACTATTTACCATAAATCGGACGAAAATATATATGGAAGCTATATCTAAATCTGAACCAATATTTCCCAATTTCCTTAGGCCAAATAGATGAGCTGTGCCAAATTTTATTCATAAATTCGACCTGTACTTTGTTTACAATTTAACATGGACAGACGGACGGACATGCATAAATCGACTTAGAAAGTGATCCCATGCATATTCTCAAAAGGAACCATGTGCCTGTTACAAACATTACAAAACAAAAAAATGATTATTAATTAATTATTATTAAATTTTAATTTCAGGTAATGAAAGCTTTGTGTTACGGATCCAAATTAATAGCTGGCTATTATGGTGATCGTAAACCTGAATTAGCGAAGCGTTATGCTATTGCGAGTTCACGGATATCGGGGGCAAGAGCTACATTGCGTTTAATTGATGATATACCCATGATACAGTATGCCCTGGAATATGGCTTGGGTAAAGGGGTAAGTGAAACAAAATACTCAACTCTATTTAAATTTGGAATTAATAATTTTTCTTTATTTTACTAGGAATCCGATAGCATTATGGCTGTACTGGGTGTGGCAGCCAATATTGTTGATTTACTCTATTATCCTGTAGAGAAAATCTGTTGGTTATCCGAACACAAAATCGTTGATATTAAAAATGCCGATTATTGGGATAATGTCAATACGATATTTTGGGTTGTGGGTGTCTATTTGAATTTGATGAGGTAAATATTTGTGAATAAACAAAACTCTACAATTTTTTATAATTGATTTATTTTTTTTGTATTTTACAGAAACATACGCAGCTTTGGGTTAAATCAACAAAAAATTAACACAATCAAGCAAACAAAGTAGGTGTAATAAAATGGGTTCTATGAACAGTTATTTTTCTAACATCCCATTCTTTTTTTTTTTCTTCACAGAGACAATCCCGATATGGAGAAAATGTTAAAGAAACATCGCATCGAAATGTTAACATTGTTGCGTTTAACCCTCGATTTTATACATGCCGGCAGCTATTTGCCCAAAGGATATCTCTGGGGTGGTAAATTGTCGACATTCCAAATTGGTGCCATTGGTACAACCTCAGCAGCGATAGGAATTTATCAAATCTTTGCCAAACGGAGACTTAATAAATAGGAATGCAGAAAATATTTAATTTGTGTTTTTTTGTTTTGCTAATTTTGAAGTCTTTATTAACTTCAATATTTATTATTAACATTTTTGTTTGTTTGTTTTGAGACTGCATTATATTGTGGGCATATTTTGTGTGTTTGTTTTCTGTTTATTTGTGTTGTACAGTGCAATTTATTGTCACCGATATTTAAATACTTTGTATTGTTTAGTTCCTAAGTTTCAAATTTTGTTGAAAAGAAAAGACAATATATAGATGAGATTTGTATGTATGTATATTGTGAATGTTGTATAATAAAAATTTAGATAATTTTTTATATAAATATGTGTATTGTTTTTGTATTTTAATATATAATTGTATAGACTAATTTTTATTCTGAGTGGATGAAGTAAACTAACGACAGTAAATTAAAAATTGTATGTTAATAATTACAGAATGAATGCAAACAATAATTTCCGATAATTTTTCCGATAATGGAAAGACAAAAGATTGCGACATATAATGTACATAATATATATATCATTCACTTTGCTAACACTATAAAAAACGGACTAATATATCAAATATTGGGGATACTAAAAGTCGAAGTCGACTTTTGATCTTTGAGAAAAGCGAAAAGTCGACTTTTCAAAATCGACTTTCGGTTTTCTTCATAAATACTTGGTTTATTATCACAAAGCCGAAATTGCCCAAAAATTTCACATTCCAGGACTTTATTTCATCTGTTGACAACAATTTTTATAAAAAATATTTTTTTCGTCGATTTTGCTTTAGTTAGTAAAATTCGAAAATCGATTTTGACAAAATCGAAAGATCGAAAAGTCGACTTTTTAGCCAACGACAAAAGTCTAAAAATCGACTTTTTGGCCAGAGGCAAAAATCGAAAAGTCGACTTTGGCGCTCAACTCCGTATCCGTTATTAATCGCTGTTGTTGTTGTAGCAACTGTGTACATGTTTGTTGTATTTCAATTATTCTGGTTCTGACTCCTCTGTTTCCAGGAAGGTTGCAATCGGCTTTATTTATTTTACTAGGAATCCGATAGCATTATGGCTGTACTGGGTGTGGCAGCCAATATTGTTGATTTACTCTATTATCCTGTAGAGAAAATCTGTTGGTTATCCGAACACAAAATCGTTGATATTAAAAATGCCGATTATTGGGATAATGTCAATACGATATTTTGGGTTGTGGGTGTCTATTTGAATTTGATGAGGTAAATATTTGTGAATAAACAAAACTCTACAATTTTTTATAATTGATTTATTTTTTTTGTATTTTACAGAAACATACGCAGCTTTGGGTTAAATCAACAAAAAATTAACACAATCAAGCAAACAAAGTAGGTGTAATAAAATGGGTTCTATGAACAGTTATTTTTCTAACATCCCATTCTTTTTTTTTTTCTTCACAGAGACAATCCCGATATGGAGAAAATGTTAAAGAAACATCGCATCGAAATGTTAACATTGTTGCGTTTAACCCTCGATTTTATACATGCCGGCAGCTATTTGCCCAAAGGATATCTCTGGGGTGGTAAATTGTCGACATTCCAAATTGGTGCCATTGGTACAACCTCAGCAGCGATAGGAATTTATCAAATCTTTGCCAAACGGAGACTTAATAAATAGGAATGCAGAAAATATTTAATTTGTGTTTTTTTGTTTTGCTAATTTTGAAGTCTTTATTAACTTCAATATTTATTATTAACATTTTTGTTTGTTTGTTTTGAGACTGCATTATATTGTGGGCATATTTTGTGTGTTTGTTTTCTGTTTATTTGTGTTGTACAGTGCAATTTATTGTCACCGATATTTAAATACTTTGTATTGTTTAGTTCCTAAGTTTCAAATTTTGTTGAAAAGAAAAGACAATATATAGATGAGATTTGTATGTATGTATATTGTGAATGTTGTATAATAAAAATTTAGATAATTTTTTATATAAATATGTGTATTGTTTTTGTATTTTAATATATAATTGTATAGACTAATTTTTATTCTGAGTGGATGAAGTAAACTAACGACAGTAAATTAAAAATTGTATGTTAATAATTACAGAATGAATGCAAACAATAATTTCCGATAATTTTTCCGATAATGGAAAGACAAAAGATTGCGACATATAATGTACATAATATATATATCATTCACTTTGCTAACACTATAAAAAACGGACTAATATATCAAATATTGGGGATACTAAAAGTCGAAGTCGACTTTTGATCTTTGAGAAAAGCGAAAAGTCGACTTTTCAAAATCGACTTTCGGTTTTCTTCATAAATACTTGGTTTATTATCACAAAGCCGAAATTGCCCAAAAATTTCACATTCCAGGACTTTATTTCATCTGTTGACAACAATTTTTATAAAAAATATTTTTTTCGTCGATTTTGCTTTAGTTAGTAAAATTCGAAAATCGATTTTGACAAAATCGAAAGATCGAAAAGTCGACTTTTTAGCCAACGACAAAAGTCTAAAAATCGACTTTTTGGCCAGAGGCAAAAATCGAAAAGTCGACTTTGGCGCTCAACTCCGTATCCGTTATTAATCGCTGTTGTTGTTGTAGCAACTGTGTACATGTTTGTTGTATTTCAATTATTCTGGTTCTGACTCCTCTGTTTCCAGGAAGGTTGCAATCGGCTGTGTCCAAAGAGATTCCGAAGACAGATGAGTGGGTTTATCAGGGCAGTTAAAGAGATGCAGCGTATCGTGAGGTCCAAGTCCACATGCAGGGCATGCGTTTCGTACCGCGCTGTCAATTCGGGCCCAATACGAATTGAGGCGGCTGCACCATCCTGATTGGGCTAAAACCACTATCATTTGTCTAGGCAGCTTTCGCTCTTCTGCTTCACATGGTATTGGTCCATTGCCTGGGTCACTGCTTCCGTGTGATTGCTGGTAATTTCTGCTCGATAAGCCTGTTGACCTAGGGGTTCTCTTTTGTACCGTTGGACCCCTCTGTCTCTCAAGATCATGTAGGTCTCTCCTTACGTGCCTGGGTGGGGGAATTCTATCCATAAGATTGTGGCATGGATGATTCCTGCGATAACACCCAACGCCATAATCGTACAATCATTCGCATACAGTACGATCTCTATGCCGTCCGGTGGTTGTGGAATTTCAGAAAGGTAGGGGTTAAACAGTTTCGGAGATATGACCGCACCATGGGGAACTCCGTGTTTCACTCTACGGGGTTTAGATTTTTGTTTTTGTGCCTGGGTGGGGGAATTCTATCCATAAGATTGTGGCATGGATGATTCCTGCGATAACACCCAACGCCATGATCGTACAATCATCCGCATACAGTACGATCTCTATGCCGTCCGGTGGTTGTGGAATTTCAGAAAGGTAGGGGTTAAACAGTTTCGGAGACATGACTCCCTGTTTCACTCTACGGGGCTTAGATTTTTGTTTTTGAATTCCACATATGACTAGCGACCACACATGTTATCCATCGTTTCAAACTAGGCAGGAGGTTGGTCTTCTCTATGTCCTCGAACAGCTTGGCGTGATTGACAGTATCGAAGGCTTTCGATAAGTCAAGAGCCACCAAGACTGGCCTGTCGCACGGCCTGTTTTAGTTAAGTCCTTTGCTTACATGTGTGGTTATGGTGTGTAATGCTGTAGTTGTGCTGTGCATCCTCCGGAATCCATGTTGATGCTGAGGGACTGGAAATCTAATTCTCATCAGAGGGAGGGGTAGTGACTCAAGCGTCTTTGCTACTGGAGACAGAAGGGAAATCGGCCTGTACGATTTACCTCTGCTGGCATCCTTGCCTGGCCAGCAGGTATATGGCGAGCGGTTGCAGCAGTGATTATGTCTCGGAATTTCCTCTCAGCTACCCGAATTTCCTCTAGCTCTCTGAAGCGGCGATTGGTTAAATCTCTGAAACCTTGCCAATCAGCTTTACCATGGTTCAGGAAAGTTCGGCGTTCAGAGGTTATGAAATCGGGTGGTCTATTTACAGAGACGATGATGGGAAGGTGGTCTGAAGCAAGAGAAATGACGGGCTGCCAGATTACGTATTTTATCAGACCTGGTGATGGTGATGTCCGGCGAGCTGTGGCAATCTCCTCTTATTCTCGTGGGGGCATCCTCATTACCGTGCAAAATCTGGAGCTGTCAATTTGCTCTGGCAGCGCTGTACCCCTCTGTTTATTCCCGGACTATCAGGCTTGTGGAATAATTGTTGGGAGGGGTGAGATGCATGATGGCTACCAATATCGCGTGATGTTGGTGGCCACTTTTGCATTGTATCCCCTTTCAGCAATTGTTTCATTGTAGAGAGCCTGCATGTTAGTCCTAATGGTAGTAGCTTTGGCTATGAAGCTGGGCAGAGGCTATAGTCTGTGAGTGACCAGTCTTGAACTGTTTGGGGTTCTACTGGTAATAGCTTTGGCTATGAACCTGACCGAAGGTTTCGGTAGCACGGGTGTCAGGGCCCCTAGGTCTGCTGATCTAGCCTGGCAGTTGGTGTTGGCCCTTCGGGGAGCATCGTGCTGGATGTGGTTTATACCCAAATCGCGGGTAGAGCTGTGGCTCGATGTGGAGTTGCATTACAATCGGGTGCCTGACCCATAGAAAGGAAGGAGTTTTAGATGGGCTCCGCTCCTCATCCAAGGAGGTGATCGCGTCCAAATACGTGTGATCGATTGGTACCTGCATTTCGGTGTGGGGGCGTTGGTTGACGCTTTGTATTAACTGGTGTTTACAGCACCGTGGGGTAAGACCGCAAGGTAGGTACCCACGTACTCTAAGCATCTCTGTACCCCTCTGGTCATACTACTACTACATGTTATTTATTGTGATTTCAACAGACGGAAGGACATGTCTAAATGCACATAGAATTCTATTCTGAGCAAGAGTATAGACTTCATGGGGTCTCAGTTGAATATTTCGAGGTGTTGCAAGCGAAATGAAAATTTTAATATACAGTACAACTTGTGGTGGAGTGTATATTGCTATGAATGTTGTTACTGCAGAACTTTGAAGGCCGTGGTTCAATAATACTTACTTTTTTGGATTAAAAACTAATTAAAAAATAACTTGTATTTAGTTTTTTGTTTTTGGTTTGAAATGCTTTATTTATTTTGATTATATGATTTGTTGTTGTTTTTATTATTAATATTTTTGGTTTTGTGTGTGTTTCTTTTTTTTACATTTTCTTGTTGTTTTTGAAAAACTTAAATATTCATTCTTAGGCTTTTATATTGTCATTATACATTTTAAAAATGATTTGGTTTTTCATTTATTTGTTATTTTTTTAATTTGCTAGTGGATCAAAAATGTTGCTATTGCTTTGTTGCTATTTTGTTGTTGCTGTTGATTTTGTTTGAAAATCTTAAAAATAAAATTAATAAAATTCTAGTTGTTTTCCATTTTGTTTTTGGTATTCTCGGTTGTTATTGTGTTACTTTTTGGTTGGCATTCTGTTTGTCTGTCTGTCAGTTAATATTCTTTGTTTTATTAAATATTTTTTGTTTGCTAAAACATAAAAAATACGTACTGTTAGTTATTATCTGATGATTTTAAAACTTAATACAACAATAATTTAAAAACAATTTAAATTCCCTAGTTTTTTTTTGTTTTGAAAAATTTCACAATATTTTTTTTTTCAAAGTTCTTTTTAGTTAATTTTTTTTTAAATATTTTTTTTGTGTCATCCGAACTCATAATAAAATCCCATATTAGTTTAAAAGCTAATATGCTGATTAATATATATGAGTATTTTTTATTTATTTTGTATGTATATATGTGTGTTTTAGTGTTTTATTTTTTATATTATTAATTAAGTATAGCTCATTGTTATATATTTGTTTAAATATTAAGTATATTTTTCTTCTTCTTCAAAAATGTTCATTAACCTTTACCTATTAAGATTTTTATTTATTTATTTTTGTTTGTTTGGTTTTCATTAAATAAAAGCTCATATATAAATATATAGGTTTTTTTGTATGTATGTGTGTTTGATTTTTTTTTTAAATTTTTTACTTGTGATTGTTGTTGTATTGCATGTGTATTTGATTTTTTTTGTTGTTGTCAAATTTTATTAATGTCTTGTATTATAGTATATATATATTTTAATTTTTTTTTTAATATTTAAATTTATATAAACTTCGTTTCTGTGGGATTTATTTTTAGTTATTGTGTTTTCTTAAAACTTCTTATGCTCCTTTTTTCTTGTTGTTGTTTTTTGTGGTCTCGTGATTGTGTTTTAATGATTTTTTTTGTTTTGTTTTTATAATTTATTTTTTTTAATTATAATAATTATTATTTTAATTAATTTTTTTTTAAATAATTGGTTTTGTATACTGCCTAGCTACATTTGTTGTGGGTCTTTTTGTTTGCATTTTTATTTTTAAATATATATTTTAATTATTAGATTTTTTGTTTTTATTTATTTATTATAAATTATTGTGTCATTGCCTTTAAAACTGTTGACGAATTTCAAACAATTTTTTTTAATTATAATAATATTTAATGGCTTATTATAAGCTTTGAAATCTTTTCAAATATTTTTTTAATTATATTTCATGGCTCATTATAAGCTTCGAAATCCTTTATAAAATCTCATTAAAAACCGCGTTAAATTTTGCCTTCGAAACCTTTTAAAACTCTTTATAAAATGA